CCCATACGTTGTGGGCATTTTGGGGGATGTTGTAGCAGCAGATGGGATCTCTCTTTGTATCTCTCTCTCTCTCTCTGCTACAAATAAGTAAAATAAAATAATTAAAATCATTTAAAATCAGTTAGTCTGGGGGCTGGTGCTGTGGCGTAGCAGGTAAATCCATCACCTGCAGTGCCGGCATCCAATATGGGTGCCAGTTTGAGTCCCGGCTGCTCCACTTCTGATCCAGCTCTCTGCTATGGCCTGGGAACGTAGTGAAGGATGGCCCAAGGCCTTGGGCCCCTGAACCCATGTGGGAGACCCAGAAGACGCTCCTGGCTCCTGGTTTCAGATCGGTGCAACTCTGGCCATTGCAGCCAATTGGGGAGTGAACTAGCGGGTGGAAGACCTCTTTCTCTCTCTGCCTCTTCTCTCTGTGTAACTCTGACTTTCAAGTAAAATAAATAAGCCTTAAAAAAAATCAGTTATGCCAGTGATGCAGCATAGCAGGTTAAGCCTCTGCCTGCGGGGCCAGCACTCCAAATGGCACCAATTCAAGTCCTGGTTGCTCTACTTCCTATCTATCTTCCTGCTGATGGCTTGGGAAAGCAATGGAAGATGGCCCAAGTGCTTGGGTCCCTGCACCCACATGGGAGATCCAGAAGAAGCTCCTGGGTCCTGTCCTTGGATCGCTTCTGCTTTGACCATTGAGGCCATTTGGGGAGTGAACCCGCAGATGGAAGACTTCTCTCTGCTTCTCCTTCTCTCTGTAACTCTGCCCCTAAAATAAATAATTTTTTAAAAATAAAATTAGGCATAATTGTATAGGCTTATTTCTGATGTCTAGTCTGTTTTTATATATTTATAATCTATGTGTCCATCTCTCCACAAATATCATACAGTCTTTTTTAAAAATATTTATTTATTTTAAGGATTTATTTATTTATTTGAAAGTCTGAGTTACACAGAGAAAGAAAGAGAGGCAGAGAGAGAGAGAGGTCTTCCATCCACTGGTTCACTCCCCAGTTGGCAGCAACGGCCAGAGCTGCGTGGATCAGAAGCCAGGAGCCAGGAGCTTCCTCCAAAGTGGGTGCAGGGGCCCAAGGATTTGGACCATCTTCTGCTGCTTTCCCAGGCCATAGCAGAGAGCTGGATTGGAAGTGGAGCAGCCAGGTCTCGCACCGGAGCCCATATGGGATGCCTGCACTTCAGGCCAGGGCGTTAACCCACTGTGCCACAGCACTGACCCCAGCTCTGACTTTCAAGTAAATAAATAGATCTTTAAAAAATAGAAACTTGGGGGCCGGCGCCGTGGCTCACTAGGGTAATCCTCCGCCTGCGGCGCCGGCACACCGGGTTCTAGTCCCGGTTGCGGCGCCAGATTCTGTCTCGGTTGCCCCTCTTCCAGGCCAGCTCTCTGCTGTGGCCCGGAGGGCAGTGGAGGATGGCCCAGGTGCTTGGGCCCTGCACCCCATGGGAGACCAGGAGAAGCACCTGGCTCCTGCCTTCGGATCAGCGTGGTGTGCTGGCCACAGCATGCCGGCCACAGCAGCCATTGGAGGGTGAACCAACAGCAAAGGAAGACTTTTCTCTCTGTCTCTGTCTCTCTCTCTCACTGTCCACTCTGCCTGTCCAAAAAAAAAAAAAAAAGAAAAGAAACTTGGGAACTTGGGGCCGGTTCTGTGGCACAGTGTGTTAAGCCACCATCTGCATCGCCAGTATCCCATATGGGCGATTTATCTTCCTGCTAATGCGCCTGGGAAAACAGTGGAAGATGACCCAAGTGCTTGGGCCCCTGCACCCATGTGGGAAACCCAGAAGAAGCTCCTGGCTTCTGCCTGGCCCAGCCTGGCTGTTGTGGCCTTTTGGGGAGTGAACCAGCAGATGGAAGATCTCTCTGTCCCTTTCTCTCTGGCTTGCTCGCTCTCTTTCTCTCTCTCCCTCCCTCCCTTTCTCTCTCTGTAACTTCACCTTTCAAATAAAATAAATATTTTTAGAAAAATTAGAAACTGGGGACCTGCATTGTGGTCCAGTAGATTAAGCCCCCTCTTCTGATACACATGTTCCATATCAGACCAAGAGATTGAATCCTGGCTATTCCACCCCAATCAGCTTTCTTCTAGTGGGCCTGGAAAGGAAGTGGAAGATGGCCAAGTACTTGGGACCCTGCCTTCCATGTGGGAGAGCTGGATGGAGTTCTGGGCTTCTGGCTTCAACTTTTTGTGGAATGAATGGATGGAATATCCTTCTCGGTCTCTCACTCCACCTTTCAAATAAATAAAATCTTTTTTTTAAAAATTAGAAACTGGAACAGGTGTTTAGTGCAGTGGCTAAGACACTGCTTAGGATGCCCACATCCAATATTGGGGTCAGTGATTCAAGTTCTAGCTCTAGTTCCAATCCCAGCTTCCAGCTAATGTTTGCCTTGGGAGGCAACAAGTGATATCCCAGGTACTTGTATCCCTATCTCCCATGTAGGAATCCCGGGCTAAGTTCCAGGCTCTTTGCGTCGCTTGGCCATGCCCCAACTATTGTGGGCATCTGGGGAGAGAGACAGAAAGAAAGCCCTGGGCTGGCACTGTGGTGTAGTAGGCTAAGCCTCCTCCTGCAGTGCCAGCATCCCATATGGGCACTACCAGTTCATGTCTTGGCTGCTACTCTTCTTATCCAGCTCTCTGCTTATGGCCTGGGAAAGCAGCAGAAGATGGCCCAATTGCTTGGGCCCCTGCACACACGTGAAAGACCTGCTCCTGGCTTGAGACTGGCCTGACTCTGGCCATTGAGGCCATTTGGGGAGTGAACGAGCAGATGGAAGACCTCTCTGTGTCTGTAGCTCTACCTCTCAAATAAATAAATGAAATCTTATAAAAAAAAAAAAAAGAAAAAGCAAGCAAGCCCATTCACAGTTCAGTCCTCAGTCCTCAATCCCTGCACCAACCAAGGTTAGGCACGGTCAAAGCTAGGAGCCAGGACCACAATGGAGCCTCCTATGTGAGTGGCAAGGACCCAATTACTTGAGCCATGACCACTGCCTCCCAGGGTCTGCATTAGCAAGAAGCTGGAGTCAGGAGCTGTATATGAAAATGAAACCCAGGTGTCTCAACCATTAGGGAAAACGCCTCCCCCTGGGGCCCGGGATATGTGGGGTGGTTTCCTGTCCCACAGCTCTACTGTGATTCTCCAGCAGATGCCAGAGAGATGTCCTCTCAGTGCAGTTCTATTCTGACCCTGTATATTAGGAAATAGTTCAGACCCCACAGGTAGAGGGCTGAATCCTATACACTAGTCACAATCACCAGTTCTGACCTGTGCTTCTGACCAACCAGCTGTAAGTCTGGGCTCGCACAACCCCCTCAACAGGTTCAGTTAATTTATCAGAACAGCTTGCAGAGCTCAAGGAAACACTTTGCTTATCTTTGCCCACTGATTATAAAGGATGCCAATGAATATATATATATAGAGAGAGAGAGAGAGTGAGTGAGGTATGGAGCAGGGCTGTGCCACCCTCCAAGAACCCCCACACACTCAGCTGTCCAGAAACCCTCCACACTCAGACCTTTGGAGTCTTTACAGAGGCTCCATTAAGGAGGCACAACTAATCAAATCAGCAGCCTTCAGGGATCAACTTGACCTTCTGCCTCTTCCCCTCCCGCGAAGTTGGTGAGGGGTGGTAGGGCTAAAAGTCCTAACGCTCTGACCATTCCTTCGTCTTTCCTGTAACAAGCCCTGCATCCTAAATCTACTTAGGGCCCCCCAGATGTCAGTGATTTCATTAGCATACAAAAGACACAGCTTTTTTATAAGCTCTATATCCAGAAACCAGGAAAAAGACCAAAGATATATTTCACAATATCACAATTAGAATGCCATAGATGAGACTGATAGACATTAAAGTTGGAACTGTAAAAAGTGAGGGCCAGTGCTGTGTCACAGCGGGTTGAAGCCCTGGCCTGAGGCACCAGCATCTCATACAAGCACCAGTTCTAGTCCTGGCTGCTCCTCTTTCGATCCAGCTCTCCACTATGGCCTGGGATAGCAATAGAAAATGGCCCAAGTCCTTGGGCTCCTGCACCCATGTGGGAGACCAGGAAGAAGCTCCTGGCTTTGGATCAGCACAGCTCCCACTGTTGCGGCCAATTGGGGAGTAAACCATCAGATGGAAGAAGAAAAAAAAAATGAAAGTTCACGTCACCAGTGTATAGTTTTTGTTTATCACCCTCAACAAATCTCTATTGTAGTGTTATTTATAATATTGAAAAATGAGAAGTAGTCTATAAAAGTATCTACAAAATTTTGACTGCCATATTATAGTAAGAAAAAGCTGGATTGACATAGTTACCTAATAGACATACATGCATCAAAATGTATATGTAAAGAAACTATCCATTCCTTTCCATTCATTTAAACAGAGCCAGCAAACAAAGCTGAGCTTGACCCACTAAATTGACCCTATATCCTAAAAACAGGGTCCATATTAATACAGCCATTAAACTAACATTAACAGTAGTGTGTGCTTTTTTCTTATCTTGAAGATCACAATGATTGTCTTTCAAAATCAACTTGAGGGGCTCCTGATGGGGAATAGCAGGTTAAGCTGCCATTTGTGAGGCCAGCATTCAATGTGGGAGCCAGTTCAAGTCCCAGATGCTCCACTTGTGATCCAGCTTCTTGCTAATGGCCTGGGAAAAGCAGAGGAGGACGTCCCAAGTGTTTGAGCCTCTGCACCCATGTGGGAGACCCGGATGAAGCTCATGGCTCCTGCTTCAGCTTGGCTCAGCCCTGGCCATTGCGGCCATCTGGGGGAGTGAACCAGTGGTTGTAAAATCTCTGTCTACCTCTCTCTGTAACTCTGACTTAAATAAATCTTTTTTAAAAAACAATTTAAATCTGTTTTCCACAAGAACAACTGAATGCCTATGTTTCCCTAACAGTGAATGTTTTGTCACCTTTTATTCCTGATCCTCGTGTCCCTCCCCAGTTCTTTCTTAGTGTCACAAGTGTATCTGCATGGTCTGTTGCAGGTGGCCTCAAATAGCCGAGTTTACTTATTTGACATTTTCCTTTTGGGACGTCGTGCTTTCAACAATGGCCTTCAGATGATATTGGAAGACAAGAGAATTTTAAAGGTGGGTGTGTGCCTTGATTCCTCTGCTGGTAGAATTAGCAGCCTGATTCTAATGGTCATCTCCATGCTCTGACTCCTTAGGTCATCCATGACTGCCGTTGGCTTTCAGACTGCCTCTCTCATCAGTATGGAATTATGCTGAACAATGTCTTTGACACTCAGGTACATGAAGGGAAGCACTGAATTCAAACCACTGTGCATAGCTCCTGTAGGAAACAGGCCTCATCCGTTGAGTGTTTAAATCTCTCCTGTGGTGCTGGTGCCCCGTCCCTGCCCACTTCCCCTGTAAGATGCTTGTACAGTATTCGGGAATGTTTGGTGAGCTATGAAAGCACTGAAAGAAAGTAACCTAGTTTTTTTAGGACCACGTTTTCCTCAAGTTGCTCCAGAACTTGGAAATAAGAAATAAGCTCCATATTCCATAGCACATTCAAAAGCTTGAGCAATTAGGAAATCTTTCAGAAGTCTGACACGGGAGACTTGGTGTGGGATGAGCAATCACATCTCTGCCTTTCCCATGAGCGTGTCGACTAAGACAAGAGGGCATTTAGCTGGAGGGGGGCAGGATGTGCCCCCAAAACCTAAAGACATGTGATTTGCCACTCATCCCAGAGACCTTAGAGAAATGGGAAGTCCCTGGACTATAACGGCCTCTAGTTTTCATTCTATTTTCTTTAAGGTCTTCTAGTTTGTAGATTTATGCCAGTGAAAGGGAGGTCTTGAATACACAAGCCCAGATCCTTTGGAGAGGAACTAATGACTTGGCCAGTTTTGAGCAGTGACCCTGACCGTTTAGTTTCGTGTTGCTGTGAGTGGGCCACTTTTCTGCTGTGTCTGCTTGCCTGTTAGTCGGAGCTTCCCTCAGGCCCTCACACTGCACGGTGTAATGATGGTTTCTGTGCTTACTCTGAATTGAAGAGTGGCTCATTGTTCCCTTGAGGTCTTGGCTCCTGCTTTTTTATGTGATCTGTTCTGACTTAATTTTTATTTGTTTTTCACTTCATTTGTAAGGCAGAGACCAAGAGAGACTCCCACCCGTTGATTCACTCCCCAAATGCCCGCAACAGTCAGAGCTCAATCCAGATCTCTCATCCATGTGGGTGGCGGGGACTCCAGTACTGAGCCATCACCACTGCCTCCTGGGGTGAGCATTAGTAGGAAGCTGGCTCAGAAGCAGAGCCAAGACTTGAAACCAGGCACTCCATTATGAGATGTGGGCATCCCAGGTGGTGTTTGCTGCGCGAAATACCTGCCTCCAGGCTTCTTGATTGGACCTTCGTGTGTGGTCTGATGAAGGCTTTGGCATACCGTTCCATGTTTTTCATTTCAGATTTTCACCCGTTTGTTTTCCCTTAACACAGTGTGTTGGTTTTGCATCGTTGCTTTAATAAAGCTCCCCAAATCCTGTGTCAGTGAGGATTCCTCTGGAGGCTCTGTGGGGAGATTCTGTTTCCTTGGCTTTTTCCATTTCTGATGACCATTTGTACTCCTCGGCTTGTGGTCCACTCCGTCATCTTCAAAATGCGTTGCTCTCACTTGTGCCTCTGTCAGCCAGTCTCCTCTTCTGACTGTAGTAAAGTCTCCTAAAAGAACGCTAGTGAATTTGCTTGTGCTTGTCAGGATAATTGTCTTACTTTAAGAGCCTTAATTTCATCACAGCTGCAAAGTTTTGCCATATAAGGTAACAGGTTCCAGGGATTAGGATGTGAGTATCTTTGGGGGCGTTTTTTCAGCCTACCACACACAGGTAAATATTTATTGTGATTTTTAAATAAGATTTATTTATTTATTTTAAAAACAGAATTACAGAGAGGCAGAGGCAGAGAGAGAGCGAGCTCTTCCATCCGTTGGTTCACTACCCAGCTGGCCGCAACGGCCAGAGCTTGGCCAATCCAAAGCCAGGATCCAGGAGCTGCTGCTGCTGCTGCTTCTTCTTCTTCTTCTTTCTTCTTTCTTCTTCTTCTTCTTTTTTTTTTTTTTTTAAGATTTATTCATTTACTTGAAAGTCAGAGTTACTCAGAGAAAGAGGAAGAGAGAAAGAGGTCTTCCATCTGCTGGTTCACTCCCCAGTTGGCTGCAATGGCTGGAACTGTGCCGATCCGAAGCCAGGGGCCAGGAGCTTCCTCTGGGCCTCCCACTCAGGTGCAGGGGCCCAAGGACTTGGGTATCTTCTACTACTTTTCCAGGTGATAGCAGAAAGCTGGATCAAAAGTGGAGGAGCCAGGAATCGAACCAACACCCATACGGAATGCTGGCACTGTAGGTGGAGGCTTTTCTGCTACACCACAGTACTGGCCCCTATGATTCTTATTTATGTTGATTTTCCTTAACAAAATTTTGCCAGGGTTGCAGAAAGATAATAAAAGCAATTCTTGAATTCTTTCTTTCCCTAGTCCCAAAAGGAACTAAACAGTACCAATCATAAGGCAGACAAAAGAAGCAGAAGAGCTGGCACCACGGCTCAATAGGCTAATCCTCCGCCTAGCGGTGCTGGCACACCGGGTTCTAGTCCCAGTCGGGGCGCCAGATTCTGTCCCGGTTGCCCCTCTTCCAGGCCAGCTCTCTGCTGTGGCCCGGGAGTGCAGTGGAGGATGGCCTGAGTACTTGGGCCCTGCACCCCATGGGAGACCAGGAGAAGTACCTGGCTCCTGCCTTCGTATCAGTGCAGTGTGCTGGCCGTGGCGGCCATTGGAGGGTGAACCAACGGCAAAGGAAGACTTTTCTCTCTGTCTCTCTCTCTTTCACTGTCCACTCTGCCTGTAAAAAAAAAAAAAAAAAAAAGGCAGAAGAGGAAGTAGACAATAAAACAGGGTGACTGGGGCCAGTGTTGTGGCACAGCAGATTAGGCTGCTGCCTGTGATGCTGGCATCCCATATTGGAGCATAGGTTCGAGTCCTGGCTGTTCCACTGCTGATCTAGCTCACTGCTAATGCATTTGGGAGGCAGTGAATGATGGCCCAAGTACTTAGGTCCCTGCTACCCGTGGAGTGCCTGGCTCCTGGCTTAAGCCTGACCTGGCCTGAGATGTTGACGCATTTGGGAAGTGAACCAGAGGATGGAAGTTTCTCTCTCTCTATCTCTCTCTGTCACTCTACCTTTCAAATAAGTAAAAATAAATACATCCTTTTTTTAATGTTTTGTAGAATTCACCAGTGAAGCCACTTTGTCCTGAGCTTTAATTTGGGTGTTTTTTCTTTCTTTTTTTTTAAAGATGGATGATCTTTTTCCTTTTTAAAAAAATTTTTGGAGTAATTTTTGACTAAACAACTTTAAATATTCTAATGGCGGGCCGACACTGTGGCACAGCAGGTTAAAGTCACGAGCTGCAGCACTGGCATCCCATATGAGTGCTGGTTCTAGTCCTGGCTGCTCCTCTTCTGATCCAGCTCTCTGCTATGGCCTGGGAGAGCAATAGAAGGTGGCCCAAGTCCTTGCACCTCTGCACCCGCGTGGGAGACCTAGAAGAAGCTCCTGGCTCCTGACTTCGGATCAGCTCAGCTCTGGCCATTGCAATTATCTGGGGAGTGAACCAGCGGATGGAAGACCTCTCTCTCTCTCTCTGTCTCTGCCTCTCTCTAACTCTGTCTTTCAAATAAATAAAATAAATCTTTAAAAAGTCTTAATGGCATTGTCTATCATGAGAATTCCTGGAGAAAATTATATTTAAAGACATTTTTCTAAATATACTTCTGTCTTGAGATCACTTTCTGCCTATACTTGACCTGTTTGCCTTTTTTTTTTTTTTTAATACCACAGGTAGCAGATGTCCTTCAATTTTCCATGGAAACAGGTGGCTTTCTTCCAAACTGCATCAGTACTTTGCAAGAGAGTTTAATCAGGCACCTTAAGGTAGCCCCTAAGCATCTCTCCTTTCTAGAAGAGAGACAAAAATTGATTCAGGTGAGTGTTAAAGTCGATTCCTTTGACGTTAATTTCCCCAGTGTTTTGAGAGTAGGATTGCCAGCCTATTATGTAGAAAAATGAAGCTGCCTATCGTACATAACCATTGCCAATGTCTTACTTAGTTATGCCAAATGGGAATAGTTCTTCATGGTCTCAAGTGGATAAAAACCAAGGTCCTCCTTTAAAATGTTACCTAGGGCCAGGTGTTGTGATTCAGTGGGTTACACTGCTATGTGGGTCGCCTGCACCCCATATCTAAGTGCCTGGCTTGAGTCCTGACTACCCTGTGCTTCGAATCCAGCTTCCTGCTAATGCTCCATGGAGGCAGCAGATGGTGGCCAAGCGCTTGCTTGTGTCCCTGCCACCCAAATGGGAGACCTATTTGGAGTTCCAGGTTCCGCTGTCATCCTGGCCTAGCCCTATGCTGTTGTGGGTGTTTGGGGAGTGAACCAATAGATAGAAAATCAATCAATATCTCTCTCTCTCTCTCTCTCCTTCCTGTGTCTGTGACTCTGCTTTCAAGTAAGTAAGTAAATAAATAATCTCTTTAAAGAACTATACTGGGGCTGGTGCCATGGCTCACTGGGTTAATCCTCTGCCTACAGCGCCGGCATCCCACATGGGCACTGGGTTCTAGTCCCGGTTGCTCCTCTTCCAGTCCAGCTCTCTGCTGTGGCCCAAGAGGGCAGTGGAGGATGACTCAAGTGCTTGGGTGCCTTCACCCACATGGGAGACCAGGAGGAAGCACCTGGCTCCTGGCTTCGGATCGGCGCAGCGCTGGCCATAGCAGCCATTTGTGGGGAGTGAACTAGCGGAAGGAAGACCTTTCTCTCTGTCTCTCTTCTCTCACTGTCTAACTCTGTCAAATAAAAATAAATAAATAAATAAAAGAACTATACTGAAATAAATTTTCAAGTTAGGATAGGGGGAATCTTTTGTGGAAACGGATTAAGGCAATGGGACCAAAACCATCCCAGCTGTTTCTCCCAAATGAGGTAAACTTAGGTCATGACCATATTGACTCCAGCTTGGGTCATATACTCAAGTCTACTGCCTCCAGCTGTGAGAATTTCTGATCAACCTACCTATCTGCCCCCACTTCTCTCTCACACACACACGTTGTATTTGCACGACTGTGTGTGTGAGCGTGTATTCATTCACAAGACTAGCAACAGTGTGAAAGCAGGGCTGGGCATTTGGCCCAGCAGTTAGGATGTCCAATCCCAAATCAGAGTGCCTGGGTTCAAGTCCCACCTCTACTTCCAGTTCCAGCTCCCTGCTAATGCACATCCTGGGAGGCAGCAGGTGATGGCTCAAGTGCTTGGATCCCTGCCACCCACATGGAGACTGGGATTGAGTTCCAGGCTTCTGGCTTCTGCCTGGCTCAATCCTGGCTATTGGTAGTTTTGGGGAGTGCATCAGCAGATAGAAGGTCTCAGTCTTTCTGTTTCTCTCTTTTTCTCTCTCCCTCTCCCTCTCTCTCTCTTCCCTCCTCCCTCCCCCCTCTTTCCTACTCTCCCCCTCCCTCCCCTCCTCTTTCCTACTCCCTATCAATCTGCCTTTTGATAAAATAAGTAAACCTCAAAAAAAAAATAACTAAAAAAGAAAAAAGCTAGTGTGAGGGGCAGGCGTGGTGGTGCAGTGGGGTGGGTTAAGCCACCTCTTGGGGTGCCTACATTCCATGTTGGAGTGCCTGGCTCCAGCCCCCACTATTCTATTTCCAATCCACTTTCCTGATAGTGCTCATCCTGGGAGGATGGCTCAAGTACTTGGGTCCCTGCTGCCCATGTAGGAGACCTGGATGGAGCTTCTTGTTCCTGGCTTTAGCTTGGTTGTTGCAGGCATGTGAGGCGTGAAACTGACGGAAGATCTCTCTCTCTCCTTCTCTGTGTCTCTTTCCAAACAAGCATTCCTTAAAAATAGTGTGAGTGCAGGCGTAATAACAGAAAAAAGTGACAGTGTCTTAAGTTAAGCAACACTCAAAACAGTTTGTTTTCTTTAAAGTTTTGCTTACTATTCAGAGAAAATTAATTTGGTATCTTCAGGAAAACCCGGACGTGTGGTTCACACGCCCTCTTTCACCCTCTTTGCTGAAAATTTTGGCCCTGGAAGCCACCTACCTGCTGCCCCTTCGCTTGGTGCTGCTGGATGAGATGATGTTGGACCTAACAACCCTGGTGGACGGGTACCTCAACACCTACCGCGAAGGCTCCGCAGACCGGCTCGGAGGCACAGAGGTGGGTGCAGCTCTGTGGATGTGCCTGCACGACCTCCCTTCCGGTGCCACTTTTCACAGCTGCAGTGACTTCCTCGAGGCAGGCTTGGTGATTAGTATCCTTGATGGTTCCACAGCCTGGGCTTGACCCATCCCCTGAACACCTTCTCATGATATCGTTGTTTCCGGGAAACATGTCTGTCAAAGTGTGGTAAACCTAAGATTACATTAGTTATTTTCATGCTGCTAGGGTAATATAAGAAAACTATGGATCAAGGGTCCAACATTGTGGCATAGCAGGTAAAGCCACCACCTGCGATGCCAGCATCCTATGGGTGACAGTTCATAGATCTGCTGCTCCTCTTCGGATCCAGCTCCCTGCTGATGACCTGGGAAAAGCAGCAGAAAATGGCCCAAGTGTTTGGGCCCCTGCACCCCTGTGGGAGACCCAGATGAAGCTCCTGGCTTCAGCCTGGCACAGTGCTGGCCATTGAGACCACTGGAGAGTGAAGGAGCAGATGGAAAATAGATCTATCTCTCTGTCTCTCCCCCTCTCTCTAACATAAATAAATAAGCAGGATGGAAGCTGCTTGGGCTGACTTGGTGAGCATGTGGTGCATGGAGGTGAAGACCTGTGACATTGCTGTCTACCACTGTACACATCACAGCACCGTATACTCGGGCTACTCTAAATTTTTAGGCAATATTATTTTTCAGTAGTAAATTAACCTTGGCTTACTGTAAATTTTTTACTTTATAAACTTTTAATTTTCTTTAGCTTTTTGACTCTTGTAATAGTATTTAGTTTAAAACACACATTGTACAGCTGTACAAAAATGGGTTTTTTTCTTTTTCATTGGTTTTTATTTATTTGTTAGAGAGAGATGTTCTCCTCCACTAGTTCACTACCCAGATGTACCTAACAGCCAGGGATGGGCTGAGGCTGAGGCTGAGGCTGAGACTGAGGTTGGGAGCTGTGTGTAGATGGCAGGAACCTGATGATTTCGGCCATCACCACTGCCTGCCCGGGTCTATATCAGCAGGAAGCTGGAGTCAGGAACCAGAGGCAGGCGTCAAACCCAGCTAGCTACTCCAGGATGGGCTGTAGGCATCTCAGCAGGTGTCCAGACTGCTAGGCCACTCACCCCGTATTTTCTTTATTCATATCCTTCCTCCTTAAGCTTTTTTCTAATTTTAGTAGTTTTCAACATTTTAAAAAAGCTTTATTTATTTATTTGAAAGGCAGAGTTACAGAGACAGATAGGGAGAGACAAAAGGAGAGATCTTTCATCCACTGGTTCACTCCCCAAATAGCCATAACAGCTGGGACTGTGCCAGGCTGAAGCCAGGAGCCAGGAGCTTCACCAGGGACTGCCACCAGGTTCCCAACTACTTGCACATCTTCCATTGCTTTCCCAGGTGCATTAGCAGGGAGCTGGGTAAGCATGGAGCAGCTGGGACTTGAAGTAGGGCTCAGCAGGGATGCCCACTATACCACAACACTGGCCCCAATTGTTTTTAAGCTTTGTTAAAAACTAAGATGTATACATACATTAGCTGAGGCCTACACAAAGTCAGGATTAGCATTATCGCTATCTTCCAGCTCCACAATTTGTCCCACTGGAAGATCTGAAGGGGCACTAACATCGTTGAGTGTTGATCTGCTATGTTAACAATGCTTCCTTCTAGAAAACCTCCTAAAGATTGGGCGGCACTGTGGCGTAGCGGGTAAAACCACAGCGCCGGCATCCCATATGGGCACCAGTTCAAGTCCTGGCTGCTCCTCTTCCGATCCAGCTTTCTGTTGTGGCCTGGGAAAGCGGTAGAAGATGGCCCAAGTCCTTGGGTCCCTGCACCCACGTGGGAGACCCGGAAGAGGCCCCTGGCTCCTGGCTTCAGATCAGCTCAGCTCTGGCCGTTGTGGTCATTTGGGGAGTGAACCAGCAGATGGAAGACCTGTCTCTCTCTCTTTGGCTCTGCATCTCTCTGTAACTCTTTCAAATAAATAAAATAAATCTAAAAAAAAAAAAAAAAGAAAGAAAGAAAGAAAGAAAGAAAGAAAGAAAGAAAGAAAGAAAGAAAGAAAGAAAGAAAGAAAACCTCCTAATGGGCATGCCTGAGGCTGGTTTACAGTTAAACTAATTTTTTAAGATTCATTTTATTTATTTGAAAGGCAGAGTTAGAGAAAGAGAGAAGGATAGCCAGAGATCTTCCATCTGCTGGTTTACTCCCTAGATAGCTGCAACTGCAGGATCTGGGCCAGGCCAAAGCCAGGAGCCAGGAGCTGCAGTCAGGTTTCCCATGTGGGTGCAGGGGCCCAAGGACTGGGGCCATCTTCTGCTGCTTTCCCAGGCACATTATCAGGGAGCTGGGTCAGAAGTGGAGCAGCCAGGGCTTGAACTGGTACCCATATGGGATGCTGGCATCACAAGTGGCAGCTTAACCCACTATGCCACAGCACCAGCCCCGTTAAACTATTTTTTAAAAATATATTTATTTGAGAGAAAAAAAGGGCAGGGAAATAGAGAAACAGCTCCCATCTACTAGATCATTTTTTAATATCAAACATTCTCAATATTGAATAACATATAAAAAGACATTTAAGTGAGTGGAGCACTAAGAATTTTTAGCTATCCATTATTCCTAAATCTTAACAATAGTCCAGTAAAACATTAACACTGATTATTTGGCAATCTGTAATTTTAGTCTATTGGAGATAAATACACATGAAAACATTGTCAAGGGATTTTGGAAATAAAGGTATATTGAGGAGTTGGCACTGTGGCATAGCAGTTAAAACCTCTGCCCATGGCACCGGCATCCCATATAGGTACCAGCTTAAGTCCCAGCTGCTCCACTTCCAATCCAGGTGCCTGCTAATGCACCTGGGAAAGCAGTGGAAGGTGGCCCAATCACTTGAGCCCATGCCACCCATGGGAGAGACCTGGATGGAGTTCCAGACTCCTGGCTTCAGCCTGGCCCAGCACCAGTTACTGCAGCCATTTGGGAAGTGAACCAGCAGATGGAAGATCGATCAATCTTTCTAACTCTGGTTTTCAAGTAAGTAAAATAAATATTTTTAAAAAAGTGTCTTAAAATTAAGAAGCTTGTGTTGAGATATAAAGTTTGTATTTTTATCTTTAAATTTCATTCTCCATAACCTTTTTGAAATTTTCTAATGTATGAATGAACATACACAAGTTATGTTCATTGCCTTTGCAACATAAATTGCTAGAAAAACAGTTCTACAGTTGAAGACACTAGGGGGTGCTATAGGAATACATTTGAGTGTTCTCTGTGTTACAAAATACCAGAAATTACGTTGGAAGTGACTCTGATCGCACCTTCTGGAGTTTGCTTGTAACAAACTTGTGTTGGTTTTCTTCCCTTAGCCCACCTGTATGGAGCTGCCACAGGAGCTGCTTCAGCTCAAGGACTTTCAGAAGCAGCGCAGAGAGAAAGCTGCAAAAGAATACAGCGTGAACGCCCAGGGACTCCTGATAAGGAGCGTGCTGCATCCAAAGAAGTCAGTGACAGAAACAGCAGGGAAGGAAGGAAAAGTCCGAGGGTTCTTACTTTGTAAAAATTCTAGGGTGGATCAAGCTCCAGATTTTACATCCCGTGAATCTCGTCAAGGCGAGAAGTTTCTGAAAGTGGAGATGATGAATAAAGAAACCACAACAAGACATCCACAGCCGCCTTCTCTAGAGCAAGGAGAAGCCCGAGACGGGTCCAGCACTGAGGCCGTGGGGTCAGAGAACCCGAGAGTAGCTCAAAACAACCAGCTTGTGATGTGCAAGCAGGACTTTCAGGCGAGTTCTTTGAAAGAGGAGATAGAACAGTTACTGACGATGGAAAGCAAGGAAGGCTTACAATGCACAAAGCAAGGTGTTTCAGTGTCTTCAGGGGACACCTCCCATCCTTCCAGAAAATCTGCCCTTCCCACACTCCCTCCCTGTCCTGCCTTGGAGAAGACTGACTCCTGGATAAACCTGTCCCCAGGTCTGGCCTAGAGATTTGCCCTTTGTTGTCAAGGCCGCAAGGCGGCTCACGTCCCGGCCTCCAGGGCCTCCCTCTGTGCTTAAGTTTGGTTACGCCTCAGTCACAGGCTCTGGGGGAAGTTGTATCCTCCTGCTAGCCCCGACATTCCTGGTATTGGGATTAGGATGGGAACGGATAAGTTAAATAACAGAGGAAGTACGGTTTCTGATTATGTCATTGTGAGGAAATGTTTCCAGTGGCCGGGATGAATTATTTCTAAGAAACTGGTTTTACAGGACTTGACGAAGGGGGGGGAAAATCTTAGGCTTAGTATTAAGAAAAATCTATAATTTAAACGTTTTGTTCTGTTACTTTTAGGATGATTTGAAAGGGGATCATTAAAATTGAGCCATAAATTTAAAAAAAAATTGGTCCTTGACAACCGAACCAGAGCTCCTTTCCTTTGGGAAAGCATAGGCTTTATGCTTGAATTGTGAATGTTTTAGTGTCTGATGTCACAGACAGTAAGAATCAACATCTCCGTGTTCATTTCTTCTTGTTTGAGTTACTTTGAGGTTTTCTCTGTTTTCTTGCCAGCACAGGGGCCCTGGGCTGCTTTGGGAGTCTGTCTACTTCTCTGCCATGTAAACTTGAACTCTGTCTCGGTTGTATTTGACTGTGGCTGGGGTGCTCTCTTGGCAAAAGGAAGGCAGCTGTGCAGAACCCTTTTTTGTTCAAGTCACTCAGTTTTTGTGTGTGTAACATAACCAATAAACCTGTTTTGGCATTAGGTTCTCTCTCTCATTTCTTAATTGGGTCCGGGAAGGAAGATGTTGGAATATGTCTGGATGTCTAGGTCTGAAGTCCAGTTTAGAAATCTGTAATTTGGGAGCCAGCATTGACCAGCTTTCCACACTGGCACTGGTTCAAGTCCTGGCTGCTCCACTTCTATCTGGCTCCCTTAAGGGCCTGGGAAAGCAGCCAATGATGGCCCAAGTACTTGGGCCTCTGCCACCCACATGAGAGACCCGGATGGAGTTCCAAGCTTCTGGTTTCAGCCTTTCCCACCCCAGCCCATCCCCTGCCATTGAGGCCATTTGGGAAGTGAAAAGTGAGCCAGAGAATGAATGGATCTCCCCCCCCCCCTTTTCTCTCTGTCACTCTGCTTTTCAAATATTTTGATAACTATATTTCTTTTTTTTTTTTAATTTTATTTATTTACTTATTTGAAAGGCAGAGTTTGATAAAGAGACATCTTTCATCTTCTGGTTCACTCCCCAAATGGTTGCACCAGCTAGGGCTGGGCCAGGCCAAAATCGGGAGCCTCGAATTCCATCAGGGTCACCTATATTGGTGGCAGGGACCCAAGCACATTATCAGGGAGTTGGATCAAAGTTGAATGGTAGCGACTCAAACCAGCTATGCCAGGATGCTGGCCCCAGTAAATCTTAAAGAACAAACAAAAAAACCTAACTGGACTCTGTTATGGGAATTATTAATTACTTGGGGCAGACATCTTTGTACCAGCCAGTTCTGTTATGAGTGGTACTAAAAGAATTGCTATGGCCCTCCAAACTCCAGAGCCAGTGTAGCGTGGGTTTAAGATAAAGGCAGGCCCACAAACAACGTTCGACCCAGCCCTGTGGTTGCCTTGCCTCATTTGTTTGTAGTTCAGAAAGTCACTTTGGGGTGAAGGTGGTTGCGGGCTCACCTTGGGTGAGTGCACTTTCAGGTTGAGCCAAGAAGGTAATTAATCTAGCTTTCCTCTGGGAAGTGTATGAACTCCTATATGATTCCTGGAATTGATTTAGCTTCTTAAGGAACCATTAGGTCATCACTTACAATATACAGGAAGGTACTCCAAATAGTCATGGAAAATGCACATATAAAAAAAATGGATTTCCAAAATTCTTGCACCAAAGTAAACTTTTTAAAAAAGTATTCATTTATTTGAGAGGCAGAGAAACAGAAAGAGAGCTCCCATCCATTGGTTTACTCCCAAATGCTCACAACTGCCCTCAGCTGGAGCTGAAGCCATGTGCAGGCAACTCAGTCCAGGTCTTCCACCTGAGTGGCAGGAAGCCAATCATTTCAGCCATCACCCGTTGGCTCCCAAGATCTGCATTAGCAGGCAGCTAGAATCGAGTAGAGCTGAGTATCTAAGCCAAATACCCACCCAAAAATAAGCTTGTAATTCCTTTTTTCCATGAAATTGTTGAAGTACCCTCATACGTACCATGATCCAAGGTAAAATGTAGTAAGTTTATGTATTTTTAAAAAGGATTCCTTTTTTACTATGCAGGTTTTATGAATATACATACAAAGAACAAGACTGTTTTGGTAGTCACTGGCTATATATCCCTGTATAAAGGTAAAAGTAAGTTAATTAAAGTGAAACCAAATCTTAAGCCGTTCTTCAGTTGCTGTTGTGCCGTTGCCATATTTCCAGTACTCAGTAGCCCTACGTGTCCGGTGTCCACCATGTTGATAGCACTTGTTTAAAACATTGCCATTGTTCCAGAAAAACTCTGCTGGTGTGTTTGAAAGGTACGTTGACTCCCAAAACTAAATGAGCTTCTTGGGTTTTGTTACAGTATTTTCTCAGTAAAACATTCCGATCTGAAACTGCACTTTTCTGCACATCCTCATTCTAGCCTGGAGTTCGTACCTAAACTCCGCGTGTGCTATCAGAACCTGCCAGGAAGTTCAGTTCTTTGCTAGATAAAAAGCGGAAAAATTGTCTGCCATATTCAAGCACTTGTACTAGTGCTGTGTGGCATCACATAGGCTTCTTGGTTGGTTGCTTGGTTGGTTTTTAAGATTGATTTACTTATTTGAAAAGCAAAGTGACAGAGGGGACAGAGCATGACAGAGAGAGAGAGAGATCTTCCATCTGCTGTCTTGCTCCCCAAATGGCCACAAGAGCCAAGACTGAGCCAAGCTGAGCCAAGAGCCAGGAACTCCATCCATGTCTCCCACATAGATACAGGAGACCAAGTACTTGGGCGATTTTCTGCTACTTTCCCAGCTGCATTAGCCAGGAACTAGAACAGCCAAGACTCTAACAGGTACTCCATATGGGGTGTTGGTAACACAAGTGGCAGCTTAACCTGCTGTGCCACAATGCTGACCTGAGATTTCTTGTTTAAATCTTACCCAGAATTTTTGGAAATTCTAAGTTTTTTTTTTCTTTTTGGTTTTGTTTTTGTTTTTTCTTTTATCCACTGTTGAGTTTCTTACCCTCTATTTTCCAAGTTGAAAGGCCATAAGCTTGGGGCCGGCACCCTGGCGTATTGGGTAAAACTGCTGCCCGCAGTGCTGGCATCCCATATGGCCACCGGTTTGAGCGAGACCCAGTTCCTCTACTTCCGATCCAGCTCTCTGCTGTGGCCTAGGAGGGCAGTAGAAGATGGCCCAAGTTCTTGGGCCCCTGCACCCACGTGGGAGACCTGGAAGAAGCTCCTGGCTCCTGGCTTCAGATTGGCCCAGCTCTGGCCATTGTGGCCATCTGTGGCATGAACCAGTGGATGGAAGACCTTTCTCTCTCTCTCTCTCTCTCTCTCTCTCTCTCTCTCTCTCTCTCCATCTCTGCCTCTCAGTAACTCTGCCTTTCAAATAAATAAATAAATCTTAAAAAAAAAAAAAAGATAAAAGTCATAAGCCATGCTGCCTGGCTTCCTGAACTCTTGAGGTCTTATTCCAAACTGCCACTAATTTTCTGCAAGTGTGCTATTCAGCTATTCATTTTTTTAAAAAAAATGTTTATTTTACTTGAAAGTCAGAGTTACACACAGAGAGAAGGAGTGGCAGAGAGAGAGAGAGAGAGAGAGAAGGAGGTCTTCCATCTGCTGGTTCACTCCCCAGTTGGCTGCAACGGCCAGAGCTGTGCTGATCCGAAGCCAGAAACCAGGAGCTTCTTCTGGTCTCTCACACAGGTGCAGGGGCCCAAGGACTTGGGCCATCTTCTACTGCTATCCCAGACCATAGCAGAGAAATGGATCAGAAGTAGAGCAGCCAGCACTCAAACCAGCGCCCATATGGGGTGCTGGCACTGCAGGTGGCGACTTTACCCGCTACACCACAGTGCCGGCCTGATACTCAGCTATTCATGACCTGACTCATGAGTAATATCAAGCTTTCAGTTTTGCAATTAGGAAGTGAGGTTGAATGACCTTGAATAAAAATGCAGCCCTGAGAATAGAAAGTGTTTCTTGGCTTCTTGGTCCATTCAGTACTCTCTCATAGTATGAAAAAATCACTGCTGAATCTGCCTCTGACCTATGTATGGGCTTAATCCTAACCTGACAGGTATAACTCCAGCACCACATGTGCCTCTCATCATATCTGGCGCAGTGCCAGTCCCAGCAGTGAGCAGACTTGAGGCTTGGGGTGATCTAGGGCTTCTGGGGACAACTGAGCTAAAAAGGAAAAAGTGTGCTCAACTATCATCCCACTTTGTACAACCCTTCCTGGAATTTTCACACTTTCCTTCCTGTTGTTTCTCACCCAGACACACACACACACACACACACACACAACACACAGTTGCAGCTATATTATAAATATACTTAATGTTTTTTCCTACATCACACTTTTCTATTTTACATCTTTCTTTTTTAAAAGATTTATTTATTTTCTTGAGAGGCAGACTTAAAGACAGAGGGAGAGACAGAGAGGTCTTCCTTCTGCTGGTTCCCTTCCCAAATGGCTACAACAGCCAAAGCTGGGCCAATCCGAAGCCAGGAGCCAGGAGCTTCTTCTGGGTCTCCCTTGTGGATTCAGGGGCCGAAAGATTTGTTAGGCCAACTACTGATTTCCCAGGCCATAGCAGAGAACTGGATAGAAGTGGAGCAGCTGGGACTCCAACTGGCACCCATATGGGATGCCAGCTCTGCAGATGGGGCTACACCACAGTGCTGGGCCCCTAAAACTTTTTAAATAGTAAAAAAAAAATTTATAAAGCCACAATGAGATACTACCATGCATTCACTGTAGTGTCTAAAATTTAAAAATATCAACACTATCAAACATACATGAGGAGGTAGGGCGACCAGAGATCTTGTACATTGCTGTTGGGGATGTAAAATGGTACAAGCACTTTGGGAAAAAGACTGGCCATCTCTTCAAAGTTCAGTGTACTGTAACCATACAACCCAACAGCTCAACTCCCATGTATTTATGCCTCAAGTATTTTGTTTTCAAATAAATACTTATAAAATCAAGTGTTTTAGGGTACAGAGCAAACGACACACTAAAATACACAAGCACTTTAGGAATAGTTTGTCATTTTCTTGTACTAAGGATTTGTTCCAAGAGCACTTTCCACTGCTTTCCCAGGTACATTAGCAGCAAGCTAAAACACAAGTGGAGCAGCGGTGGCGCTGTGACATAGTGGGTAAAGCCACTGCTTACAGTGCTAGCAGCCCCTTTGGGCGTTGGTTTGAGACCGGGCTGTTCCACTTTTGATTCAGCAAATATGTGTCCCTACTGTAGCCAGATAAAATTTAAGCAAAACTGCTCTCACGGTGGTGTAGTGGGCTAAGCCTCTGCCTGCATCACTGGCATCCCATATGAGCACCACTTCATGTCCTGGCTGCTCCTCTTCCAATCCAGCTCTCTGCTATGGCCTGGGAAAGCAGGAGATGGCCCAAGTCCTTGGCCCCTGTTGTCCACATGGGGAGACCTGGCTCCTGGCATTGGATCTGCCCAGCTCCGGCCATTGTGGCTATTTGGGGCGTGAACACATGGCTGGAAGACCTCTCTGTCACTTCCTCTCTCAGTCGTAACTCT